TACGTAGGTACTTTCAAATTATAATAAGTTCGTTTGCTTTAGGTGTCCATCCAGCTGTTGTGCTTGCAGCAGCACGAACTGACTGTTTTATGAAACATCTGTGTTGTATCTTAGATATTGCGGTATTCAGTGTTCCAAGTGTGGTCGGAGGTTACGTTTCCAGGGAGGAAATGAAGGTCTCCGAGTTGACAGGGCGACCCTAAAGTTGGTCAGCAAACCGAGGAAATCCTAAACCCCGAAGCTTGTCAGATAATCCAAACTCGGTGCATCGAACACTCAAGTACGGCGGCTGATTTCGCCGCATGTCTAATCTTAGTAATTCTGTTTGACTACTATAGATTGTCAATATATCTGAAACATCTTAAGAGGCTATCACGTTGTGACGATTGAGAATGTTAACCGTCACAGACGAATTTTTTCTCAAAGAGTATCGCATGTTGTTTTGTACCGGCGGTCTCGCGATTCACCTGAATTTCTAAGAGAATCGTAATTTCTCTTACGCGTTGCTGCAACGGAATTAAACGGCACGTGCTATAGACGAACTTAATTGGCTACAACTAACATTATGACATTGATATTAAACCGTATCATTTTACTTAAACTCGCTTAACACGCAACATTGTATAATCTAAATCAGAGATACTTCATACGATTCGTAGAGGGAAACGAAGTAAAGTTCGTTGAGTTTGGATTGTGTAATGAGATTCTGGTCGCAGAACAAGTGATTTCTTTCGGAAAATTTATTCATAATACAGACGGTATCGCGAGATGGGGAACGCGTTTCATCAGTGGAGCGGACGATACGATTCTTCCAAACAAGTGGACGGGTTCGTTCGAGGTAGCGCAGCATTTTGTTGATTGTACTCGATGCGAATTCCTCGATGGGGAGGCAGGAGGAGAGATTTTTCCAAGCCACGCAGCGGGAGAATTGATCCAATTCGGTCGGTCGAGCCTCACTCCTTGCGGAAAAAGTATCTCGGATATACCATATCGAGGAGATCTCCGTCCATCGTTATTGGATTTTATTCGCCGGACCAACCTTTTTCTCCTCTTTGTGTTTAACAAGGAGATTGAATTTGAGCACTACGGGCAAAAACAACGTTTCTGCTTTAGTCCGTTACGGCTCCTTTTTGGCCGTTTAAGAGAACCATTCGCTGTGTTATTCTTGGTTCACGGCGCTTTGTTTGCCGCTTCAAACTCGACTGTTCTATTGTACCTGTGAATACAATGGGATTCTTGTTCGTTTTAGAAATCGATTGATAATCGCGCGTCCATTGTCAACAGAAGGCTACTTGGAGAATTTGGGATGGTCGAGTAAAAGTTACGAAACGAATATTAAATGTTATATACACAGGTAATAATAAAAAGACAGTAGAACAATTGATTGTCCAAATAAAGAACGAAGCATTTATATCTATAAAGTAATTCTGGCAGAGATGGATTATTTTTTTAAAAACCTTCGGAAATCAAATATTTCAGAAATATTAAGTGCTTTGTGTAATTTATATAATTTTCTTCTATAACATATAATTGAAATATTTAATTATTTCAGCCAAGTCATCAGGCATAAGCTACGTCCGCATTTTCGCCACGTGTTATATGACATGCCAATTGTCTATCTATTCTCA